AGAGGCTGCAGTGAGCCAAGATTGTGCCACTGCACTCCAGCTAGGGTGACAAAGTGAGACTCTGTTTCTAAATAAATAAATAAAGTGAATCTTTTGATAATCTTTGTTTGAATCATTAAATGTTTTTATTTTGTAAATGTAGAAACTTTCAGAATATTTTTCATGACTCAAGTTTTATTTTGCAGTATTTTTCTTTACATCCAGTACTCAGTGTCAGAAACTATGTGCTATACTTTTAACAAGCGTTCGAAATTTTTTATTTGCCTTAAGATGATGACTCATGCTTCACACTGATGGTTTCTTTTTAAAAAAGGTTTGACTGTCACTAAAGTTGAAGCTCTCACATGCCTGCTTTATCATTTCTCCGTCATCATCCCCAGTATCCTATGGTCTCCTTAATTCTGAACCTCGAATTTTGGCACATTCACCTCAAAATATAACTAGCCAGTGACCTACTTATGCCAATATTGACAATGTTGACAATTTCAAAAAATAAGTATTAATGTTTGGGTTTCATATTGTAGTCATCCTATGTCATCTGAATTCTATCATATGAAATGTGTTTGGTTCACTCAGAATACACATTTTTGTCTTTTCATTGTATCCATTAATATTAGGTTTTTAACTTTAATGTAAAGGCTTAAATTCCTTTAAAATGTGTTTATTTGCTATTAAATATTATGTAGCATCAACCTGCCATGGCCCCACCAGAAATGATTACAGAGATCAAATATTTAATCTACTCATTCCTGGCTGTACGTTGGTATCATGTAAATATCAGAACAACCCAGTTTCTATCAGAAGTTGGCAGACATTTCAAGTATACAAACTAAATAATTACATAAACTATTACAGGCTTTAGATACCTGTGCTAAGTATCTGTACTCAAATACCTCTGTATTTGAGGTTGTTTTCTCCCAATAAATGTACGTAAAACTCCATTTAGTCTGGCTAGAAATTACAAAGTAAAAAAAAAGTGGGATCTTTATATAAAATAATACATTTTAGCTCTTGTATATTTTCCCTTAACAGAAATGGAAATCTTTAACATTAACTAACATCTATATGCGTTAAAGAGCTAGGATAGACTGTGTAATTTCTGACGGGGAACTTAAGGCAAGGAGGTTTTGAATCTCTATTTTAGAAGCTTTTCCGTCTCTCTCAAGACTGGATAGTCCACAGATACTTCTATGGGCTCTGGTTGCTTAACAGAGCACACAGCATTCTACGTTGTTAATTGTAACAATCTAGGGGAATGAGATCACCTAATCATATAATTAACTTCAAGGGTTAGTATGTCTCCTTCTCCACTACCTAGATCCTGGCATAGAGTAGATGTTTAATAAGCATTTGTTGAGTACACAGACACATGATGCAGGGGCTGAATTGGTCTTGACTATTTTCTTAGAATGCTTAGTTTTATTCACCTATATAATAAATTTAAGGCTTAATACATAATAGAAAGAGAAAAGAGAAGAGCATAAGAAGGGAAGAAATTACTTTGTTGTTTTCATATACAATATAAGTAAAACAATGTCACAGTGATAAGCACACTGATTAATTATGATTTGGGATATTACTTCTTTTCTAACCACGTAAAATGATAGCAGACCATAACTTAGGGGAAACAAGAGCTCTAGAGGGGGAAACAATATATATATTTGAAAACACATTGTTTAGTTTTATTACATGAGATATGTATATACACACACATACACACACACACACACACACACACATACACACACATATATATATTTTAAATACTGCCTCTGGCGCTTATTGGCTTGCTGACTTTGGGAAAGCAAATTCCTTGAGCCTCAGAGATATTTGTAAATTGATATATAAATCACAGCATTATACATATAAGATTTAAATGAGATAAGTTTTCAATGCTCTGTTTGTCAGATTCCTCATCCAGAAAATATATGGATAGACGGCATTATAAGAGCATAATTATGAAATGTGAGAAGCCAGTACATATACATGTGTTTGTGTGTGTATGTTTGTATGTGTGTTAAAAAGTTATCTTTTGTCACATAAATCTGGAACTAATGTTCTAAAACTTGCCAAATATAAAATTGAAAGCCTCCCGTAAATATCAAGTAAAATGCCTGAAATGGTTCCAATGTCTACAAGGCAATGCAGTAAAAGGGGATGAATGAGAGAACATATATAATGTGCCAAACACACTGTCTGTTGTGTAGTAACTGCTCAGTGACTTTCAGTCAGTACCATTACAATTATTGAGAAAAGCATAGACTTGTGTTTAAACAAATTTGCTAATAAGTAAAACTGGTTCCCAGCCTAAAATAAAGCAGAGTTGAATTGGTTATTCCCTCTTCTGCATTTCACGGTACTGTTCATAGCTTCTTTTATCATATCACATTCTCCTGTGATCAGTTAAAGCCTCTCTTTCCCATCCCCTGTGGTCTTTGACAGCAGAGATTCTATCCTATTATCTTTGCATTCCCAATATACCGTGCTGTACCCCGCACAAGCAGGAGCTGGATAAATTTTTAATGCATGAAAACAAAACCTCAAAATACATCCTAGAATGAATATGCAGAGGGAGAGCTTGTAGGCATAATGGTTCCTAGGGCAGGTGAATTGATAGGCAAAGAGCTGGAGAGAGAGCACAAAAGGAAACAAAGTTCCTAAATGGTGGGGAAAGTGATCCTTTGTTAGGAAAAAAAAGAATTACTCAATTTCTTAAAATGAAATCTAACATTAGATTTATGATATTGGAAATAAGAATATATGCATTCTGCTTTATGTTTTATAGAACTTCCGCAGGAATGCTATAACATGCTAATTATTAATTTTTCTTATTTTGTGCATTAGGAAACTAAATCTAATTAAAAGCTACTTTATTTTAGGTCAGACAACTAGAAATAGATTTAGGGATCAATTCCAGGCGTAACAGTTTCAAGACCAACGGTCTTCAACAAGGCACGGAGCATACAGGCATTGTGGAGGATTTGTCAGTTATCCAAGGATCATCATGACTTCAAATAAACACGGCTGAACTTTATCTATAAAATTCTGAAACAACTTAGATGATCAATACATGAAATGAATTATGGCAAAGTTTTATTTGGTATAGCCCATGTTAAGAAAGGATTATATAACTGGGGGGCTGTGTACATGGAGTGTGTATATGTATTTTGTTTTGTTTTTAATAGCCTACTCCTTAGATATATCATGGGTACAGCATGTCACTCTGAGCTTATAAATTGGAAGGCAGAAATGAATTCAAGTGTCTCATTTCTTCAGGTCATATGGCAATTGTACTAGTTGGGAAACAAAATATGAAAAAATGGTTTCCAGCTTTAACTAATGGATCAGTTTACATGTATTAAGGCTGTCCTGGGCTTGTTTAAAAGAGAAAAGCTTTATTTTTCAAACATATATCCAAAGCTCAAGACCAAAAGAAAGTTTAATTATTTATCCCTGGATAATGCAGATGAAATCAAATGTAATTAAATGCTAACTGTTCTTTAATGAAAATTATAAACATAATTGAACTTCATCTTTAAAGGCAGAGTTGTTAGTTAAACAGATGATGTCAGAGCTCTGGTTTTCTTTTTCACTTTATCTAATTATGCTTAGTCTTTTAACACAGGAATTTCCACACAGGTTTCCATTTCACGTACTCTGTAGATTGTATCTTTGCAAACCATTTAAGAATCTTCTGATTGACAAAATAAAGTAGGCTGGCAATTTAAAAGAAAGTCATGTTTGGCTTTTGACAGGATCTCAGCTTTAGACTTTCCTACAAGGTTTGTATAAATGCCAGCCCTCAAAAAGTCATTCAAGCTTTTTTTCGTTTCCTTTTTTAAAATTTTCTGACTAGATCGAGACAAGCTAGGACTGTAGAAGTATGATGGGGAGGAAAAAGGTCAAGTTACACACAAAAGCATTAAGGTTCACTTCTACCAGCATCAGCCAAGGTGTGCATTGACAAGAAAACGTAATCTGATGGAAATTAACAGCAATGATTCAAAACACTGTGCTCACTACAGAATGGGGGTAGGTGGGGTGCGTATTATGCAACAAGTGTAGACACATATGGCCAAATAGAAATTTTTGGCTGGTAAATATATAAAGAAAACTTTAATAATTAAAAGTAATATGGAAACCACATTAATTCAAAAAGTGATCTCATTCTCAAACCATTTGTTTAAAAGATATGTTAAGACATTTAAAGGACTCCAAAAAGTGATGAATCAACCCAAGAAAAATGACATGAGCAATATTAAATGATAGAATTATAATAACAGGAAGAACATGTTGGTAATTCCATGGATAATTCATTCACTTGGAAAAATATAGCATCCCTGGCTGGGCACAGTGGCTCATACCTGTAATCCCAGCACTTTGAGAGGCTGAGTTGGGAGGATAGCTTGAGGCCAGAAGTTTGAGACCAGCCTGGGCAACATGGCAAGACACTGTCTTTACAAACAATTATATATATATATATATACACATACACACACACACACATATATATAAACCAGAAAATTTTTAATGCATATATAAATTATTTACATATTTATACACAATTTATATATAATATGTTATGTATATTATGTATAATTATTTACATAAATATATATACATATATACATATATAAATTGTGTATAAATATGTAAATAATTTATATATGCATTAAAATTTTTCTGGTAATATGGAAATTGTACTAGCTGGCAAATATATATAAATATATTGCTATATATACATAAAATCTATTAATATAATTTATATACAAATATATAAATAATTTTATATTACAGATATTTTAGGTATAGAGCTTTCATTACTTTTCAGGTTCCATCTTCCTGTCAGCATATCTGAGAATAGTGAATCATTAATCTCGAAGATTCTCTCTATAGAAATTTCAAACACTGAATTTAAAATGATAAGGTATACCCCTATAAGGTATTTTGTCATAGCAGCCCAACAGCAAAAACATAAACCAATTAACAATGGCTCTTACCATCTCCTGGGTCAATTATCTCAACAGTGGCCACTGTGGGGAATTCCAGGGCAGCCAGCACGGGCTCCGAGAGGACCACCTGAAAGGTTTCAGACTGCTCATGCTCCCCGTCACTCAGGATCCGCACTCGCCACGTGGCCCTGGTCTGGCCTGGGTTGAACTGCACTTGTTTCTGTGCTTTGCCCTTGAAGTCTTTGTCTTTCTCTGCAGTCCCATCTCTTGTGCCAATACCTGCACAGAAACATATCATTTTCTTAGTTTCATTTTCACTCGGATTATTAAGGTTTTCCTTATTAACTTTTTAGATGTCATTTTATCCTGAAGAGCAAAGTTGATTCTGCTTTGATCTCATGAAATGGAAAACTGGGTATGGCTTTGATGATGCAAGTGTTTCACTGTAGGTGTTGGGTAGTTCATGATTCTGTTCTGCATTTGATTCCATTATGGTTTTGCTACATATGCTTTGAGCTACATTTGGATTAGAACTTCTTGTCAAACAAGAATATGTTTTATATTCACATTGTACAATATCCTTACTCTTACAAGTTCATGCAGTCTTCAAACTACATTTACTTTTGCATGTGTTGCTGCATATTACATAAAAAACATAAGAAACATTCTCTAACTATAAAATATAAGCCAATAAGAAACGATTCCATGAAAGAATTCTTTGACTCACCATCTAAGTCGTAAATGGCTAAGTGGAATAATAAAAAGTGATGGTATTCTCTAAACATTTAATGGAACTAGGATCCATAAAAAAATGTAATTCGGTATTTTCAACATGGCCACTGCCAGATTTTTCCTCTGTGGAACACCCTAGAATTCCATGAAACCATGTACACAGAATTGGAGAACTAAATATACATGGTTATTATGAGCACTATGCTTGGCTTACTCTGGAAGTTCATTCAAGGTCAATTTCAGTTAGCTGGGACGGTTGAAGGATCCCTGGGTCTCTAAGTACATCGCAAGATGATCTTCACTATTACTGTGCCAGATTCTCAAACCATAGGGTACATTATCAGAAGCAGTGAAAACATTCAATGTCATAGAAAAACATAAAAATGGCAATAGTACCTGGACTTCTATATCCTTAAATACAGAAGCAGAACCTCTTAGTGAGTCAAATTAATAGAATAATTTTCAAATATATTTTTCTAAACCTGGGCATTTTCAGAGATGTTGACAGGACAGACAAGTGTAAAAGAGGGAAAAATAAGGCTGGGCATGGTGGCTCAGGCTTATCATCCCAGCACTTTAGGAGGAAAGGTAGGTGGATCTCTTGAGCCCAAGAGTTTGAGACCAGCCTGGAAAACATGGTGAACCCTCATCTCTACAAAATAGACAAAAATTAGCTGGGTGTGGTGTCACATGTCTATAGTCCCCACTACTGGGGAGGCTGAGATGGGAGGATCACCTGAGCCCTAGGAGGGAAAGGCTGCAGTGAGTTGTGATCCTGTCACTGTGCTCCAGCCTGAGTGAGACCTTGTCTCAAAAATTAAAAATACATAAATACATAAAAGAAAAATAAAGTCTTGTGACTTAGATTTTTTAAAGCTTGAAAATAAGTTATGTTGGAACCCTTTACATTTAATTAAAAATTATTATATTTTTGAAGAATTCCTTTTGGTTTTTAAACGAAAAATGAAACTGGACTAAATACGATCCATTCAACTGCAAATATTCGTTGAGTACTTATTCCATGCCAGGCTCTGTTCTATATGCTGGGCTGTATCAGAGAACAAACTAAACAAAAACCTTTGCCTTTATAGTGCTTGTATATGAGTCATTTGAATATTTATTTATTGATAGAAATATATCAATGACTGGTATTTTAATCTTAAAATGAAGCTGAAAACAAACATTTTATTAAAAATACTTCTGTCTTACAGTTCTCAGAAAAATAACTGACAAAAATGTTGCATCATATTTTCCTTTTCAGTAGCAGGTAAAACATGATTTATTCAATGGCAAGAGAAAAAAGGGCACAGAACCAGGAATTGCAGGGCTGCGTATTTTGTTGAATGCTGCAGACTTCCTGATAGCTCTCCGGTTTGTCCTGCACACAGACTGGCTGTCAACACCTCTTGGATCCACTACAGTTCACTGCCAAGATACTGATGAAAGAAATCATTCTCTCTGAGGTTCCAGAACACATGCTGCTCACTGACCCCTCTATCCCCAGTGGCATGACCAGCAAAACTTGCTTAGTCTGCCTCTGATAGCTGCTGCTCACTTTTCTATTTGGTTTTCTTTCATCGGCAACGCACTCTATATGTTTTCTGGAGGTTCAAAAGGCAGTTGAAAACAAAAATGAGGAAGAATGATACAAGGAACGCCTGCTAGTTACAACTAGTCCTCCTTCCTACATGACAGTCAGGCCATCTAACAGTAAATGAGTTCTTGCAATACCATATCCCAATGGTCGCTGCTAAAAATACCTGTGATTTCTTACATTTGTTATTACATGAAACTGCAGCTGGATCTTTTCCTCTGATATAGAAAAATAATAAGGTGTTTTAAACAACGTATTTGTGGAAGGAGAGAATAGATTTTATATCCCATCCTATCCCATTTTATATCCCATCCAGGCAGGTGGATCATGAGGTCAGGAGCTCAAGACCAGCCTGGCCAAGATGGTAAAACCCCGTCTTTACTAAAACTACAAAAATTAGCCGGGCACAGTGGTAGGTGCCGTATAACACTTGTGGGATGGTAGACAAGTTATGAACTTATCTCCGTGGAGGATTTACGAAGCACTATGGTGCAATGGTTAAGAGCATGGGCCTTTTGCCAAATCTCAGCTCTGCCCCTCACTAGCTGTCTAACTTTGGACATAACACAGCCTCCCTATTTCCTCACCTCATGGTGCTCTTCTCATGGAATTGACCTAGGTAGAGTATTGGGAAGTAGGCCCAGCAAATAACTCAGTAAACATTAACTATCATTGTTTCTTCCTCGTTTACTACCCAACAAAGCCCCTGGTATGGAATGAGTACTCAAGAAAATATTTGTTGAGTCAGGGAATAAAGGGTTGATGTAAGGCGCAAAGAGATGAAGTGCTTAATGTGCATATGGAGGACCTGCCTTATTAAATGCTCAAAAGCTGGTAGCAATAAGATCTTTGAAAGGCAAATACTACTGTGGACTATAAATACACCTGTAGTTTATTAGTGGTTGGAATAGTTATCAAATGGATAATCATCTTTCAGAAAATACATCTACAAATTTCATGTAATTCATGATTTCTACCTCATTCTAAAGGTCCATAAATAAAAGTGGAGTTTGTATGGAACAGTTATAGGCAATGTACTTATTGTAGAACTTCTATGAGGCTACCCTTCATTTTAATCTGATTTTCATTCCAGGTCCTAGCATGAATTCCATTACCATCTTTAATGACTGAAGGATGCGGACCACACACAGAAGGCTTCCCAACTTTCTATCACCCCAGGTTACTAAGTAACCATGTGAAGTGAACCAAGTAAAGCCTATGAGCCTTTGTAGAACTGCTGGTAACCCCACATTCATAGGAAATAATAGTGCAATGAAAAAAATAACAAGAAAAAGAGTTCTTGACAGTTTAGTATCCAGCTTAAGAAAAAAAAAGGCAGTGGGAAAAAAAAATTTAAAAATCTTTTTCCACTATTAACTTTCCCAATGCTATCCATGGGCTGGTTGTGAGTGAAAAATTAAATAAAAACTTACCAGGAATGGGAACTCAGGTAAAAAATAGGTAAACCTGGCCAGGCATGGTGGCTCACGCCTATAGTCCCAGCACTTTGGGAGGCAGAGGCAGGTGGATCATGAGGTCAGGAGTCCAAGACCAGCCTGGCCAAGATGGTAAAACCCCATCTTCACTAAAACTACAAAAATTAGCCGGGCACAGTGGCAGGTGCCTGTAATCCCAGCTACTTGGGAGGCTGAGGCAGGAGAGAATCGCTTGAACCTGGGCAGCAGAGGTTGCAGTGAGCTGAGATCGCGCCACTGCACTCCAGCCTAGGCAACAGAGTGAGACTCTTGTCTTAAAAAAAAAAAAATAGATAAACCTATTCTTAGTAATTGGTAAGGTGCTCTGTTTGTTAGCTATCATTTTCCCTATGACTTATTTGCTATAGGTTCAAGTCGAAAGCAGAGTTAAGACAAATGTCTCCCTGATGATAAGACAGACTTGATGTGCACGTGTGCACAGAGAATGTCCTTAAACAGAGCGCGGTGAGAGCGCTCAGCATACCCGAGGCTAAATACAAAGCATGTGAAGCACAGCCAGGTGGAGGCTCATGCAAAGTGAAGATGGAAGCAGAAGCTGTGGGTGAGGCTGTGGGGGACCGGTGCCCCTGCAGTCAGAGCAATCTCAAAGACGGGGAAACTGTCCTGTGAAACCCCAGTCCTCTAAAGTTAAAAGGAAAAAAAAAGAATTTTTAAAGTCAGGGGTAATTAATATTCAGAACCAAAACATGTCAGGGGAAATAAAAAAGAAAGGTAGGGGGTTGTGGATGCAGCAAAGGTACAGTGGGTGTGTGGGTGCGGGGGGTGGTGTTGGGGTGGCAGCGGTGTAGACCTGTGCATAGAGGTCTACTGTTTAAGGCTCTTGAAATTCATGAACTGGTAAAATTTCAAAATAATCATTTGGAGACAAGCATAGGGTTACTAACTTTTTACTTTGCTAACATTTCCCTAGATTCCTACCTTACTTGATAATCTCACTCAATGAAATCTTTTCTACCTCATGCAAATTCTATTGGCCTAGATGTCTATAGAATACATGGTACCAAAACCATATAATTGCTTCCCAGATGCTGCCATTTTTATCAACGTATTAAATATTCTGTGCCAATGATATTGCTGCTTAAAAATACCAATACACTACCAACTTTATTTTCCACGTATATGAAAATCAAATATGAGCTTGAATTGGAGTTGACAAAAGGTTTCTTTTGTTTGCTTTGACTCTCAGTTTTATTTAAATGAAGCAAAGCAGAAGAAAATTATTAGTATTTAACAATTTGCTGTTAGTTACAAAGAAAGGTCACAACACTAATGTTTTAGAAGACTTTTATCTAGGGATAAATTACAGATTTGTCTAAGCTTATTCTAAGATCTAGTGGCATTTATTTTTATTTCATAACTTATTAGTGTGCTTGCCAATTTTTATAACAGAAAAAGATCATATGTGCACATAAAAGTCTTACAGAGATAAGTACCTGGACACAAACCTGTTGCTTGTTTCTTTAGCAGTCAGAGAATTTTAAATCTCTAAGCTCTAAAACTAGATCAGTGAACTAAACTGATATTTTAATCACTGTACAAGAATTACAAACCTTTGCTAGAAAATAAAATTTTAAGACAGAAATAAAAAATTAAACTTACTTATAAAAGAAGTTTCTCCCAAGTAACCTCTGCGTTTAAGAATGACATCTAGAAATTTGGATTCCTCATTGATCAGGTAATATTCCTTTTCGAAGGAGATCCATGCCCAATTCAGACGAAAATGCTGGTTGGTTAACTTGTTTCCACCTTGAAAATAGAAATGTAAAGCCATACATCAGTGCTTTTTTGAATGAGTGAAAATTAGTGCTTTCTTAAAAATTCCACAGACTGCTTTAATGAAGCAACACTAAGAATCAATACAGCTACTTAGTTTGACACACAACTCTAGAATATGTACATGGAGGTACAGCTTACAGTCTAGGAACTATTACACATAAATTCAATCGCTGACATAATTCTTCACGAATGTTTTGCTGTTTTAGAAGGGGAAGTAGGTAATGGGTAGAGGCAACTTAGTTTAATCCCAGAACTAAATATCCCACTTGCAGGATAACTCACTTCCCACAAGGTGCCGCTGGAGAGCAAGTTTTCTATTCGGAGGGCTGCAAGGCTCCTTTGTGATGTTCTTAAAAAAACACAACTTCACAAATACCTTTTTCTGGTTCACAGAGCAATTAGGTGGAAGGTTTTAATTATAACCACTTAAGGAAAAACAAATATCCCTTCTCCGCCTCCCTTCCCCACTATATTCCACTCCATTCCTTAGAGCAAACAGACAGTTCTTTTCATTGATTCCATTCCACCCTGAAGATAAGGTTTTCCCCTCCCATCTTCCCACCAAAATGGAGCTGGCTGCCTATCAGGAGAAAATAAACCTCGCGTGTGATCGCTCTAATGTGAAAGCGACTATGTTGGGTAAATGAAAGGAAAAATGGTTATCAGCTGATCACTCTGCACGCATCCCTCTACTTCTTTTGATCTACACCAATTATTTCAGAGTAAGGTGAGGTTTACAAACAAAGGCATCAGTAATGCCTTTTAAGTCTTTCTGAAAGAGGCTGTGAAAAAAAAAATGCCCAAGTAACAAACACAGCTAGAGGCACAATTTTCATTCTAGTTTCTTCTCTTTGCAATTCACATAGAGTTTCTCTAGATAAAAAGAAATGAGACAGGAAAATCTCAAAACTTTAATAGACCACAAAAAAATCTACACAAAGGAAAATGCTGAGTGAGAAAAGACAAGAAAATACGTTTGTCTTTGCTCGAAATTTTAAAAAATAAAATCTGCAGCAACTTTGAGCTATTAACTTGTTGTGTACTGAAGATTAACGAGAATACCCCGTGCAAGTGAGACTATGTAGCGAAAGTGTTTTCTTGTTTACTGTTGTTTGACTTGCAAATTAGCACAAGCCTTTTGGACAGCTATGTGCCAATGTGCGAAAGGGGCAAAAAGATGGTTATATCATTCAGTCTTGTTAGTCCTTCTGTGGGGTTTTTGCTTTAAGAGAAGCAAAATATATATTTGTAAGAAACTATCCGATGCAATATTTTCTATAATAACTCCAAACCTTAAAAACTATCTTATAGTGTATCAAATCAATAACATGTTATTCGACCACTAAACAATAAATATGAAATTCTTGTTGGAACACTGAAAACACTTAAAAACACAACAACAAAATGGTACTGACGCCGTGAATGCAGCTACATAAAATGAGGCACGACACAGGTGAAGCTGCCTGGGGTTTTAAATGATGGGATTATGGACTCAACTATAAAATATAAATAGATTGGAGAGCAGGAATTTTGTGTCAGTTTAACAAGGAAATTCATTCCACATTTTGCCCTGATGAAACTTATTACGCCTAATATCGGCTGCACCCTGAGTGCTGTTCTGGAGAGGAGAGGCCATGGGCTGGGAGGCTCTTCAGAACGGGAGTCCAAGGTGCACTCGCATCAGTTCTAGCTGCTGTCTGACTCTGAGCAAGTTACTTCTCTAGACCCGTTTCCTTTTCTGGAGTGTCAAGTGAGGGCGATGCTAATTAGCACCCGTGATTTCTTCGAGGGCGATGCTAATTAGCACCTGTGATTTCTTCGAAGATCGACTCAGATAAGCCATACACACACACACACACACACACACACACAGTACCCTGAGGTCAATAGCAGCATTCAACAAACGCAAGCTCACTCTGCCCTGCCACACCACGAACCCGCCAGCCCACCCTGCATGCCCGCTGTTGAACTACCATTCGTCTGCCTTACACCTCCCGGAGCTCATTTCGCCTTTGCCTCTCTTGCCTACAGCTTTTGCCCATATCAAGTGGACTTTTCTTTGCAGATTTCCAGGTTCATCCTGGCCTACCCTGATTGTGCCCCTTGCACTCCAATCTGCTCATCTGGAGGTAAGCCAAGATTCTTGCAGCTCCCGGGATTTGCCACCCTCACTCTTCCCATCACCCATGTCCTCTTGCCTAAAATGAGGACCCCTATTCTTCCTTGGCTGATGCTTTCCACTCCTTATCGCTGCTCTATCCCCCTGCTTGTGAAGCAGCTGCAGCTGCTCCAGCCCTCTCATCAATTTGTGGTTCTGCAGCTGTTCTCTTATTGATTACTCTGTATAGTTGTGCCCTTTGGTGGGTATCCTCTCATATTTAATCGCATTAATTTACTAATTGTACTAAATTGCACTAATTTACATCAATAATTGAGAGTATGCATTCTTTCATTATTGCCAATACTTATTCTCATTGTTTTTAAAATATATTTCTAAACAGCATTGTATATGTTCCATTAATTGGAACATCATCTAGAAAGTAATGGAAAAGAGAGAATAACACGTACTTGATTAAATGAGTACATAAAATAGCTCTGGTGTCAAAACAAATTATTAGATGAAAACAACTTTATGCTACACTCCTGTCCACTGTCAAATGTGGTCCCAGCAAGCCCAGGTTTCATTCCAAACTTCTCGTCTTGCTCTACCAAGTCTTTCCTCGTCCATTCTAACACCTATGGCTTCACATCCCATCACTTCCCCTTGAAGAGAAATATCCAGCCACATCCAACCTCTTAACTGTTTTCTGAACAAAGGTGGCTGGTTTTGTATGTGTGGTGTCTTCTGCACAGGACAGTCTTCGTTTTCCTACTTTTCTGAAAATCCCTATTCCTCTAAATTTTAACAATTCTTAGCTAATTTTAAGAAATGATTCAACCTTTTCCTGAAATATTCCAGAAAATATTACTCTCTTGTAAACATGGCACATTTTAAGACTAGGCTTCTCTCTTCAATTTTATAAAACAGCAAGCCCATTGCAAACCCCTGCACTCTCTACGCCTTCATTCTGATTAATTTTTCCCTCCAGTACTTTCTAAAATTTTATATCATATATATATACACACACAATTTTTTGGTTCATTTTCTGTTTTCTCCCACTGTAACACATGATTCATGAAGTTGTGGAGCTCATTATACTTGTTAGAAAAACACCTATTGCATCAATCAGAAACTCTGAAGTCTTGGTTGAAAGCTCAGTGGCCCTTCATTTACTCAGCAATATAAATTTCCTATGTCAATGTAACATATCTCTTTCATTACTGAATCTTTTTATTTTCTAAACAAATAATTAGTTTAATGACACCCTTTCTAAAATGTTCGCATGTTTCTTGAAAGATTTTAAGTAACACATAAATGTGAATTCTTGGAATTTGTGTTTCTCTAAATGACACTTCCAGGTATTACTGATGACTAAAAGGCTGTTTAACCCTTCCTTTCCCTTTGTGGATGGTTTTAGACACACCTAATTTTGTCTCTACTTATATGTCTGTAAAAATGATTTTCAGTTTTGTGCCTATGTTCTGAATGGGCGAAGTTGCCAAGTTACTGGTAAATCGGAGATCTTGAATGACACATGGCTGAATAGTTTGCTAGTATTTGATATGTACAACCACCACCCTGAGATTTTACTTCAAAATTAAATTCAGAAACAATATAAAGAAGCTTTGCTTTGTAAGACAGGGAGATGGTCCAACGTAACTATTATAGAAAATTTAGAATTCCCACTGAAACTGGGATTTTAAACCAGAGAATATAAATGAAATACATATTTAACTAGAAAATCTTAAGTATATAAAGCTCAACTCTTAATGGAATTAAATACCTCCTAACTCTTCTGAACCTTACACATGTGAATTGGATTTGATTTCAGAATTTGTAAAATCTTAGGTACTTACTTATTTGAAAAACCGAGCTGTAACCTATTTAACTCCGTTTACTAAAACCGTGACCTCACATAATTGAATGCTGTATTTTATTTAAAGAATAGGAAGATACCTTATCTACTAATTTGTCACCTATCACATAAACTCTTCTAAAACCTCAATCAATGGAAATAATAAACGTTGACACTTTAACAAAAGCTACAGCTTACTCAATGTGAAATTATAGATGAAGCTAAATAATGTCAAAAATGGACACATTTTTACTTAAAATTTGTTGCCGTTCCAAAGAAGATTCTGTCATCTATGGTGCACGAGGAGCTAGTCTCAGCATCTCATTGGAAAAAAATTAAACTCCATAACTCATGTCATAAATCCACACAACAGGTGTCTGACAGCTGATAACCAAACTCCCAAATGCTCTGTTCTCAAATCCTGACACCAAAGCCATTAAGGTTTTGATGAAAAGACCTCTTTTGAACTTTTCCAGCTGGTCTTTAGACTTCTTCATTTTCTTTTTCAATTCAAACTCAGTAGTTTTTTTTAGAATAACAAAGAAACCAATCTCCAATTAGCCCTCCCTAAAAGCTCAGGGCTGCCTGATCTCACTAAACACAAAGCATTTGATCTTCAATAATATGAAACTAGTGCCACAGTTTTGACTTGGGTTTGATAAAGGGGATGTGTTTATTTAACTTTGACAGCAAATTTCTTCTTACAAATAGAAAATATTGTTGGTAATTTTTAGTTTGGTAAATTCTCATTTGCCAAAAATAAAGTTCATCTTCAAAGCTGAACTGAAAATTAACTATACAGATATTTTTAAAAGCTGGATGTGGTGCTTTAAATCAGCAATAGAAATAGATATTCATATGAGAAAAGATTAAGATAATAATACTATTACCTAACTTATTGGAGAAATTAGATTATTTGATTTTTTTATTGTTTTAGAGACAGGGTCTCACTCTGCTGACCAGGCTGGAGTGTCGTGGTACTATCATAGCTCTCTGCAGCCTCAAACTCCTGGG